ATCAATAGATTCTGGATTGGAATCTCCTGCCATCAGTCAGAGAGTTAAAGCTTGGCTGGAAATGAGCTCTACAACAAGGCAATGATTCCTAAGTGTACCAACAAAATAACCAAGGAATGAAATAAAGGGAAAGGGATTCGGATTCTGGATTGGTCTAGTCAAAATCTGGATCTCAATCCATATGAAATGTTATGGTTAGACCTAAAGCTTGCAGTTCAAGCCAAATGTCTTTCTAGCACTCTCTCAATTGGTCGAGTTTTGCAAAGAGGAGTGGGCAAAAGATACAAGAATCTGGTCAGAGGTTACAAAAGATGTTTAGCTGAAGTAATCACTGCAAAAGCAGATGCCACAAGACGCTAACTAAAGCGTTTCACATACTTTTGCACATGTCAAATTCTTAGTTTTGGTGAAATTAATCCCTTATTTAAAAAAAAAATGATTAAAACATAGCCAACTGTGTTTATTCTTTGGAAAGTATACTTTACAAATTTGTGTTTGGAAACACATTTAATAGGCTTTTTATAACAATTACCATATCACACACACACACACACACACACAGATATATATATATATATATATATATATATATATATATATAGGTATGCAGAAAATAGAAAAGAACACGTTGGGTGCATAATCCAGGGTTTCTTAGTATTTTGCTTTTATTTTTAAGAAGACAGTGCTCCATACAGAAGTAGAGCTTTATTATAATAATATTTTTGTTTAAAAATATGATTCCTTCGCTACATAAGAGTTCTCATGTTTCAAAAACGAGAGCCGAAACCATCCAAATACTTATTAAAATTAAGTTGAATTGTGGTGTTTAGTCCCGTTTCATCTTCAAGCGAAATTTTAGGAATAAGCAATCTCTCGGTTTACGTATATATATATATATATATATATATATATAAGTATATATATAAGTATATAATTGGTGTATACGGAATGAATTCCAATAACCAACAATTACTATTCTTAAAAAGAGTGCTCAATACAAAGTAGAGCAGATATAATTATTTATTTAGAAAATTTATTACATAAACATGTTATAAAATCACTACAAAAATAGCCATTTTGTTTCAACACTCCCGGTGTCTTATCAAGTGATGATGTTGAATGCAAAACAAATGGTTTTAAAAGTTTCAAATTAGTTAACGATCTTTCACAAGGGGAAAACGTTTTTCCAAAAGCTACAATGACCAATCAAAATACAAGTATAGGAAAATTCAAAAAGCCTGACAACGAAGTCATGTTATAATAGCTATTCAGATCTTTAAAATACGGGCAAAATTCAAAAAAGAATTTATTCTAACCAATAGTTATTAAATTATATGATAGAATTTGATATTAAAATTAAAAACTGCCAATTTTAAAATCCAAATTTATTCACTATTAAGTTTAAAATTATAGAATTACCCAGGAGAAAAGGGGAAATACATATGTTATTCAATTTATTTCTTCGTTGAAATTACGTTAGAATAGACGTTACTCCATCCGGTCCTTTGACAATATATATGTATACATTTTAATCCTAAGTGTGCGAATGGGGTCTAAAGTAATAATAGTAGCAGCAGCAGTCTTAGATTGTCGGAGAAGTAATTCGCTTTTTCGTACTTATATCAGCAACATATGTTAGCGGGCGTTTGGTTCCAATCTCTGACGTCACTTTCAATCTCCGACCTCTCTCCACCCAGCTCGACTGCTTTCGACGGCAACCACTCTTTTTTGCGAAAAGATTTCTGTATCACCGCGACCCGTAACGGTCGCCTGCGGGTGCCCACGCACGCGACGGCACGCAGCGACGACGACGTGCCGATCGATCGATCGATCGATCGATCGATCGCCGCCCCTCCTGTCTGGCCTCTTGCGTCTCGCTCGACCGTCTGCCTTTTCTTCAGCATAACTACGCGTTTATGTAGATAACTGGTTAATCATAAATCGACCAAAAATCATGTGAATTTCAAAGTTCTCATAGACTGAGTAAGCTCTATTTCAAATTTTAACCGATAAAATTTATTTTGATCATCTCCATTGTCTTTAAACAAAATTGTTCTGATCTAATTTCGCTGTTCAAATCTACTCCAATTTCAATAAAAAATTATACGTGTGGGTTTCCCAAACTCTCTCCGTTACATACATACATACATACATATATATATATATATATATATATATATATATATATATATATATATATATAATAAAAAAGGCTTAAACACTAATATTAGGGTTTAAGCCTTTTTATTATATCCTTACTCTGTCCTGGACATTGAGTTCTACCTGGATTCTTCCTCTTCGAATTTTTATTAAAAATATACATGTATGGGTATTTATATATTTTGCAGATGTATGTATATTTTCCACTAATATTATCTATCTATCTATCTATCTATATATATATATATATATATATATATATATATATATATATATATATATGTGTGTGTGTGTGTGTGTGTTAATAAATATTGATGACATAGCAGTATTAATTTTGATAACAAGCAACTTGCTGCCATCAACCCTCGCTGTATAAACAGTGCTTGACATCAAAAACAGTTTGCTACAAAATATCAGATCGTGTTTTGCTTGATTTTTAACAGCTGCGCTTATTAATCCTCCTTCTGTCTTTGATTCTGAAAAAGAAATTCTTTTCTGTGTCGAGATTGAAACAACTTTTATTAATAGTAGGTTGCCGTCTTTTGATGCAAAGGTCTTGCAGAATTGTAAATCGTTTTATTTTTTGCACTCAAAGCATCAGATTGCTGTTGTATAGTTGAGCAAGACAAGAAATTAGAAGAGGTGCTGAGAATTTGTGTTATATATTTACACATGGCGCTATGTTTAGGGACATGACATGTCAGTCTTTTCGAGAGGAATGTTGTGGTATAACAATATAAGTTGATATATTTCTTTTGAGTCATAGTCTCCCAAAAGATAAGAGAATCGGTATACAAAAGTCCTTTGCAATTTCCCTTGTTTGATGAGTTATTCTATACCTAACCATTAAAGTGTGTGCAGTGATGTTCCAGTGAATAAAAGCGTTGATTAAATTAATCCAAAAAGTGACTTGTCCCAAAGAGTTGTGAGTTCAATTCCTCGGCACAGCAGAGAGGAAAAAAAACACTTGGAAAGTTGAGTTATCAAGGGGAATTAACTGAAACTGAGATATCTAAAAAGAAAAAAAGAAAAAAAGAAAAGAAAGAAAAGCATCACATGTAGAATTAGAACAATCTACCCCCGTAGACTAAATAAAAGGTTCGTTTCGAAATTCTAACGTTTATCACTCGAAGAAAGTCGGGGCGTACAACGGCGGAAACCTCATAAATATGGAAATAAAGATAGGGACAACAGCGAGAATGATGTAAATAGTATAAAATATTACCCGAAAAAATAATTAAATCGGTCGAGCACTGTGAAAAGAAGAGCGCGAATTTATAAACAGTCACTATTACTGCTGATAATGCAAGACTCTACAAATTGGATTGAGTTCTCTCGCTCACTGGCGTGTTTATGATAAATAAATACGTAAAAATGCACCTTTTTCTCTGTTGGTCGTCGATAGACTGGGGTTAGAATCTCCGACTGATGCCAAATCGGTCGGGTTTCGTTGCCGGCTTGAAGCGATCAGATGTCTAGCCACATTGATGAGCCTTGAAACAGCAAAACAGTCTGTCTATGGATGACTATATATATAGCATAATGAGAAGCCACGTATACTTTCTTAATATGTATATATAGAAAAAGTTTCAAATTGAAGATTATAATGTTTTATTTTATGAAAGTATTTATTTATTTATATATATATTTGATAATTCAAATTGTCCTCAATTTTCATCAGAAATTTTTTTTACAAATAAAAAAATTACTGTTGATGAAAAATTGAGGACAAGGACGAAATATCAAAATATATATAAATAAATAAATACTTTCATAAAATAAAACATTATAATTTTCAATTTGAAATCTTTTTCTATATATATATATATATATATATATATATATATATATATATATATATATTATATTTCCGATAATATATATATATATATATATATATATATATATATATATATATATATATATATATATATATATACACGTTCCCATACATGATACTTTTCGATTTCACTCTCGCGAAGTCATGTGTGTCGTCACGAGCTGCGACGCGATTTCCGTTTCCGCGTCTCGTATACACGAGTTTGTCGTTACTTTGAAATTTTTTATGTAACAAAAACAGAATATCATTATTGTTTAATATATTGTAATGTAATTGTCATCTTTGATAATGACTTATTTAAGCCAAAAGCTTAGATAGGAGTACAAAAATATGTATCAATATGGTGATTTTCTTTCTTCTTTTAATGATAATGCTATTAAGCTTATCAGAAAAAAGAATTTACATAAAATAGACAAAACTTGTTTATATTATTTAATGAAACATGTATCAATATATATATACATATATATATATACATACATATATATATATATATGTGTGTGTGTGTGTATGTGTGTGTGTGTGTGTGTGTGTGTGTGTGTGCAATGGAACATAACAGGAAAAATTTAGGTTGCAATCAGAAAATGATGATGATACTAGGGCATTTAAAATTTTTGCTATCCGATATATAGATGTACAACGTAGCCGACCTCATTCTCTATTGTATCGCTTCTTTTATTTTTGCTGTTGTTGTTTTTAAATAATCTCTCATTGTAATTAGAATTAGTTTTCTTCGGAAAAAGGTGATATATTGAATGATCTTGGATGTCAATTTAAATTGTTAAATCTCAGAAATTGCGTACGAACATTTTATTCTAATTTTACAATACAGGTCGAATAATCTTACTTCAGTTCTTCACAAGGCTAGACTAGTGGGATTCCCAATGAGGATTGAACATACTACTCTACGAAAAGGGTTTATGAGATTAGCGTTTATTATACTTCATGTTTGTAGTTAATCTTTTTCTATACCATCTATTTTTTATTTTATTTTATTTAGCGTATTATGCTCAAGCCGAGTATCACGCCGAGCGGGCACGGGCGATGATGTCATCAATTGGAAGTAATTTCCAAGAGTCTGAACGGGAGAAGATGCAACTTTATAGCATTCTTCTAAAAATGCATTATATTCTTGGAGTTTCCAACACTGCCATGAAGAAATATCCTTTTGCTTAAATGGAAATGCGTTTCCATTTCCTCTTTTTTTATTGACTCAATTAAAGGTTAAGATAAAACACGTATTACTTTTCCCAGAATGCACTTTTTTACCCTGCGATAAATTTACATTAATCCATTTCAAAGGCAAATGTGAATTTATCCCAGAGTTAAACAGAAATTTATCTCAAAGAAAATGGCTACTTGTTGAATTTATTAATCACAAATTCTTGATTTGAAAGAGAACACCGATTCCCAAATTGCTTTGTAACTCAATGAACAACAATTTTTGCCAAAAGAAAAGGGACATAGCTTAATCTTTTAAGATACTAAGTATGGGTTATTGAAGGGTAACCATTCGGAAAGCAATGGTTTTAAAGTCCTCAGGTCATTAACTGTGAGCCGTTTTTTACCATTCAGATCATTTCTGTTCCATATTCAGATCATTCGTTTGTTCAGGTTTAAGCTTCTTTTTTTCCAGCTTTACTAACATTAATGATAGGAATATGGTAAATAAAAGAGATTCCGAGGAGTATATTTGTTAGAAACCAATATAGAACAAGTATAAAATATATAGAAAAAAAGAAAGTTCTGATAGTTTCATTGTAATGTAATAACAATTGGAAAAAAATCTTAGATTTCTCCGACGTAATTTAATTGTATTATACCAGTTTGTTTTGTCCACAGAGTTGATCTGGGAATTTAACTGTAGTGTCGACATGGAAAAAAAAAAAAAAAAACAAACTCTTAGTATAAAGGAAATTTACATTAACCAGAAAAAGGCTTAGACAGAAGCGTCTATCTTTTTAAATTTGGATTTTTAAATGTAACTATAACAACAAAAAAATTTCGATTTCATTTTTACCTTGAAAAAGTCGGAAGACGAAACGCGTCGGCAAAATTTTTTTTCCAATTGTCATTTTATACCAATTTGTCTTGTCCACAGAGTTGATCTGAGAATTTAACTATAATAATAATTCTTATAAAGCTTTATTTGACTCATTCTACATTACTGCTGATAAACGTTTATTTTATTGTGATGGATGGTTACAAACGAGAGGGGAGATGGGATGTGCTTATTTTATTACCGCATTCATTTAATTTGATCTAAAACTATCAATATGTACACATTTAAATAGATTGCTGTATTTACCTGTTGATAAGACATTTACTGCTCTGACGAGCTTCTTTTTTTCTGGTGCCCCGACTACATGAATTCAAGCGTGCTACTTTACTGGCATCTAGATCCCACCCTTTTACTGTTGACATAGCTAAATTCAACTGCCACCTCTACTTTAACAGTTTCTTTTCTCGAACTTCCTGCGTATGGAACTCCCATCCGTTTACTTGTTTCCTTGATAAATACAATTTTTAAAAGTTTATATACAAGATCAATTGTCATCTTTTATCGTCTTAAAATCCCGTTCATCTTTTGTCTTTTCCTCAATCCTCCCTATACTCAGACTTTTCTCTTATTTTCACTCTCTGATACTCCCATGCGAACTGGTGGCGTTCGCGCTTTGCTTGGAGTGAAATCATTAAAAAAAGAAAGAAAGAAAAAAGAGACTATGACTAACTGAAAATCTACCAATCGCCATAGTTGACTATTTTGAGCTTTAGTAGGCGGCCTCTATTTAAATTGTATGCAGTGCAGAATTTGCATAGCTAAAAAACAAAAAAACAAAAACAAAAACACTTATGTCTTATCTGTTGGCAAATACAATATTTGAATTGAATTCCTTATTAATTGCTTAACTATTTGTTATATAAACAATATAATCTGGGGTAGGTCGTTACAAAATACTACTTTCAGGGTGTTGGCGATCATGGCTCTCCACATTTTCCTATCTTATGTAGTCCTTAATAATATTTTCTTTTTGTTATCTCAGCTTAGCCTTGTTCCGTCATCCATTTTATTCAAGCTCGCTATGTAAGCTCATGAGTTGATTTACTCTGTTCCTCTTGAATTCAATCTATCCAGTGAGTATCAAATTTTCCAAGCCTTCTTTCTTTAAGCATTAAGCATCATGGACATTTTAAAAGTATCCGAAAATATAACATAAAATGGATGAAGAGAAAGGATAAGATTATAATTGTTGATCAAAAAGAAGCAAAAAATAAAATATTAAGATTTACGGACGAGTTCTTCGTATATACAGGAATAAAAAGAAGTAGATTTGAAAAAAATATACGGAAAATATTAAACAAAAATAACCAAGAATTATGTCTGTTGAATTTTGATGTTAATGTTTTAGGAGTGAATGTGATTAGTGTCAAAATTTTCTGCTGCACAGTCACGTGTGCAGTTCAAAGCAAAGTAATTTAAAAGCAGTCAAATTTTTTTTCTTAAATGTGTAAAAATGGAGACTTGTGAACCCCATATGCAAATTTTTATTTGGTTCTTATCTTCCTGATTGGGTGTTTGTGATGCACCGAACTGTCTTTCAACTCCCTTCTTTCTTTCTTTCTTTCTTTCTTTCTTTCTTTCTTATCTTTTTTCGTCCCTTTATTTCCTACTCTACTTTCATCTCTCGCTTTCCTTTCTTTTTCTTTATTTCACTCTCTTCTCATCTTCTTTTCTCTTTCTTTAATTTTTTTCCGTTTCGATTTTTCCTAATTTTCTTTTCTTTTTAATTACTCTATCTGGACCACCTCTCAACTACTGTTGTTCCCAGGTCCACCCTGACCCGGGGTGGTAGCACCTGTTAGGGGGTCGCCGCTATCGGCAAATAGTTAACGCCCAAAGTATTCTCAAATTATGTCCTATGTGAAATTATAAAAATGAATTTTTATAGAAGTGTCAGCAATATATTTAACTCTGGACAAAACCTTCTTTACAAAAAATGCATCAATGAAACCTGATCTCCAAACTGATTTCTTACAAAGAATATATATTCTGTTCATACGAACCCATCCTAAAAGGCCACATGAGAATAACCCACTCGTACTTACTAAACAAGATCAGCCAGTATGCCAAGAATGTGAAACTACATACACTATTAAACATATATTAAGCAAGTGTTCAGACCTTGCTCTCTCAAGACAAAAAATGCTATAATATAAACAGGATGTATGAGCTCTTCGAGAAAGCAAATGTGGATGACATAATATCATTTCTTAAAACTTTAACAAAAATATAAACCAAATTAGAACATAAGTAAAATCAATTTCTCTGCAAATTGTATATCTGAAAAGAATACATTAATGAAACCAGGCTCTCGACAAAAAGCCTCTTTACAAAAATACGTTAATGAAACCTGATCAACAAACTGATTTCTTACAAAGAATACATATTCTATTCTTACGAATTCTATTTTAAAAATCTTATCGTCATTACATAATCCATTGAGGTTGATATGTCGTAAAACCAAATAAACCAAACTAAACCAATTACTCTGTCTGGGTGGGTGTAAATTAAAAAAAAAACCCCAAAACAAGACGTCTTTTGGAATTCGCACAAGTGAAAAATAATTAATCAAAATAATATATCGAGTTAGCGATCGTGGCTCTCCACAATTTCCTGTCCTTTGTAGCTCTTAATAATTTTTTTCTTTTTTTTATCGCCTCTAAACCTTGTTCCGCCATCCATTTACTCAAGCTCATTCTTCTTCTTCTTCTTCTTCTTCTTCTTCTTCTATGTTCCGTCTCCCTTCGGGATGTAGACGATCATGGCTCTCCACAATTTCCTGTCCTTTGTAGCTCTTAATAAATTTTGACTCTTTGTTATCTCTCCTAAATCTTGTTCCGCCATCCATTTACTCAAACTCATATTTCTTCTATGTGTCATGTCCCTTCAGGATATTGGCGATTATGACTCTCCACTATTTCCTATGTGCATTTCTTAATAAATTCTGTCTTTTTGTTATCTCCCCTAAATATCGTTTCGTCATCCATTTATTCAAACTCATAAGGCAGGGGTTCTATATTATTTTCCTCTGTCCCCCTTGACTACAATCTGTCCTCTGACATAGTACATGGGGAATCCAGATTTTACAAGATGAATACCCAATAAAAAAATAGAAAGTGAGAAAATGAAGGAGAGTATTTTTTTATGATTTACAATAATATATTTTTATCGTCATTATTTATCATATCAACTTGTGTTGTTTAAGGATATTTGAACCTTAAGGCAATCCGTGTACCTTCAAGACCTTGGCGATCATGGTACTCCACAACTTCATGATCTTTGTAGCTCTCAATAAATGTTGTTGTTCACCGTCTCTCTCTCTGTTGGTCGAACCATTATAAGTTTAGTGTGAACCAGAAGGAAAACCTTTCACTTTTCTATGTACATCCTGCCAATCGAGACCTTGCGTTACTAAAATTAGGATCGAAGCAATTATCAATCTGTTTGCAGAGGCTTCATTGCGATGTAAATTAAATATACTGTCGCCTCTTGGTAAATGCTTTATCACGACACTTAAAATATCGCCCGATTCTGTTTTTAATGGATGCTGTTTGATTCAGCGGTTTACAGTCTGTTGAGTTTATAGCAATGTAAATATGCAAAAGCATTTTTTTTTTAAATATAAAGAGAACTTTGCCTCGGACCTTTTTTGCTTTCAAGTAATTCACTAAACTTAGAATATTTCATGTATGAATGTCTCAAATGAGGAATTGCTATTAATATTTTTGGATAAGGATTTACTTTCAATATCTGTCTATATTTCTGAGATGCGGTATTGTAACTATTTGCACTATATACATTGTTCAGACTATTGTCTTCATCTTTATTGTCATAGCCACGACGTTTCAGCCGTTGTACTCTTCGACCTTCTTCAGTTGATTGAAATTTATTTCATCCAGGGGGGTAGACAGTTTTAGTTCCACGCGCCATGCCTCTTTCAGTTTCAGTTATTTCCCTTAATAAATCAACTCTATACGTTTTTGTTTACCTCTTCTGTGGCCTGGTGTTGAAATCACAACTCTTTGGGTCAAGACACTGGATTACTTCAACCAACCCTTTTATCCACTGGGTCATGTATTCCAAAGTATATTACCTGAAGAAAGCCGGAGCGTGCAACGTCCGAAACGTCTAGAGTATAGCAACAAAGATGAGGATAACTGTTCGAACAATGTGTATAGTGTAAATGGATAAACTTTTGTTTTAATTTTATTTGCACTTTTTTCCTCAGACCGTTAATCTACGGCAGATAATAAAGAGTTTGAATCGGAAATAAGCTCTTGGCGTCCTTTTATTTACCAAGTGGTAGCTTGTTAAGAACACCAGCTGCTTTGACAGCTAATCTAAAAAGCTACTAGACAGCTTTACAATGACTAACTCGAACTTAGTCCATTCGACGTATTTTATCAGCGCCATATATTTTTTTTATAATAGTAGTATTTGCAACGTCCCCAAGCAATGTTTAAATAGCAGGGCAGTCTTAACTCTTGTCTTGGTTGGGGACCAGTATAGGAGAAGAACAACGCTGAATTAAAAACCGGTTGGGTACGGGTCTAGCAATTCTATTTCGTAAAAACTAGAGAGCCATGGCAGCCATAGCAGCACCGCCTAGAGAGCCATACACATCAGATGAGTAAACGAGTAAATGAACGATTGGAGACAGTAGTGCTACTTAATGCCGTAGATCGACGGCCTGTGTAATGTTGCTATAAAAAGGCAACGAAAGAAACTAAGATGAAAGTAAATATGGGTAAGAAATTTAATGCTTGATAATGCTTCATCTCATAACAAATACGCATATTAATTATCTGGTGCGTTCAACAGGCTAAACAAATCCAATAATGCTCAAACCTTCAGCCACAATGTGAAATATATCGGCTATGGTGAGGATCGAACCCGGGTCTCATGGTTGGGAAGCGAACGTATCAGAATTATACAGTGATTTAGACGGACCAAAAAAAAAAAAAAAAAACAAGCGAAAAAAAAAAATAACCCAACATCCCACCGGAAATTAGTCTAAATGAATCAATATAATGTTAGCTACGTTTGAAACAAGGCTATAATAATGAGGACTGAACTCAGTTCCCTGAAAATGGCATATGAAATGTTTTTCATTAACAGCTGCTCTACAGCAGACGTCCATATTTTCAGATGCTTATTTGAATTCAGCACAGAAACTTTATTGTGATTGATACAGTGAAAACTGAACCCAGCATTACTAAAAATGTCCTGCGGGATTAATTTGTTAATTACTGCGCTATGGTGTGCCGTTGTTTCTTTCTCTGGATTCTTACACAGTTGAGGTGTATTTGTCATGGTGAGGTAGCAAGCAAGGATTGAACTCATGACATTAACTCTTGATTAACCCACTAAGTATCGTTTTACAATAGTCAGAGCTTGGCATCTGATCTCTCCGCTGATCTAGTCCTAAGAGCTCAATAAGGAAAGACTGACTTGCTTGTCTGTTTCAGTAACTCTAAAACCAATCCAGTAACGTTTCATTATCCCCGGAGAGACACCTCTGGATTTAATCTAGACAGGATGAATAGTTTCACTCTCAATGAGGTTCCTTGTTTTGAACGCCCATTGGAATTCTTCACTCTCAGACTTCAAGTGCAGCTCATATATACGAACCATTGCTAAAGATCCTGTAAAAATGGTCGGCTAGGTGTATTTGATTCTTCTACCAGACTTTATCTTTACAAGAGTCAAATTAAACCGAAATTGGAGTCACCTTAATTCCCTATGTATTCCTTTGGTAAGAAGGGTGTTCGGAACGCTTCTTCTAAAGAGCCGCTACGTTGTGGAAAAGACTCCCGCGAGGATGCTTTCTTGCGCACTACAATCTTAACCTTTTCATATGTAGAGACAATTGTTAACTGTCCGCCATATCCTACTAATCATCAATTCTTTCTTCCTTCTCTCACATTTATATCACATCCTTAATTCAACAACGCTCTACCTTGAGTGGCTCTTTGACTTTGTATTGAATGAAATTTAATTTTTTAAAAAGGTGTCTTATGTATCTTTCTACGGATGAGAAAATCATTCTTTGACTCAAGTTAATACATATCTGGCGAGTGAAAAAGATCTCAGCAGAGCACAGAGACTTTTAGACGAGATGGGTGAATTGCCTTCTTACAGCGATGTCGACCAGGATTTATGGGAAATAAAACTGAATTTAGCTTCGGCAAGGTAAGTCGTTTTTATTTATTTATTTACGTGTTATCTCCTAATATAAGGAACGCTATCCAGAACACTGGAATTGTTGTTTCCAGGGCTACTCTGACCCGGGGTGGTTGCACCTGTTAGGGTCCCAGCTATAGGCAAATAGGGAACCTCCAAACAAAAACAATATGAAAATATAAAAATTCATGTTTATAGTAAAATTACTGGCAATACATTTTTATATAAAAAATTACCAACAATAACTATTTATAGTAGAATTACCAACAATTTTATGTGTAGTTGAAGAAATACAATTACATACAAAATATATTTAATTAAAGCTATAAAATTGTGTTCAAAAAATTTAGATTTCGGCATTAAATAAACCATAGTGGTATTGATATGCCGCTAAAAATATCAACCAATCAAGCAACTAAGTAAACAACATGAAAGAACTCTTTCATGACATTAATCCATATAATAATCTTTCATGAGATTAATCCATATAATATCCTACAATTTCGTGAAGAAATCAAACTGTATTCCAAAATATAACTTCATAAAGCTCCTCTACTCAACATGTCCACACAAACATGTTTATGCACAAAAGCTGAGTATCATCTACCATGTATTCAATTGTGAAACCACAATAACATGTATCATATTTTTATTACTTCAAAGCTCCCAAGAAAATTAAATTTGGGCATTAAATGACCCATAAGTTGTTGGTATGCCGTTAAAGAAATAAATCAAATCAACAACAGCTCAAGACGATGTAACTTTTGCATAGAAAAGAAAATGATGATAATCCCGTTTTCAAAGCACGATAAATTTTCCAAAAATCAGAAAAATATTCCGAAATACAGAAATTATAAACAAACTCCTTCTACACTACCTACAACTATATCATGACCAAAAAGACTAAATTACCATCTCGAAGATAGCACACCCCAACCATCTGATCTTAATAACTGTTACGCGGTCAAACTGTATTAAATACAGCCCACCCCGTCCTATGATTGTCACACCTCGTCAACTTCTTTACCTATTACGTAATCGTTCATCCGGTAAGGTTCATTTCTAAAAAGATTGCGGGGGCGGGGAATAACTACCTATTGTACAGACATCTCTCACGTTCGGCATTCCAGCCCACTCAGTATAAGGTCAAATGATATCGCCGACAAGAGTGAAAAGCTTGCGTTCAAACACTATTAATGTGCAGGCCTGAAAAAGTACATTAGACACTTTGGCATTTAAATGGTTCGATTATTGATTTCCGGCATCAGTCGGAAGTTACCAAATTTCTCATACACTAGAGAGGATATATATATATATATATATATATATATATATATATATATATATATAATCAGTTCTTATGTGTTTATGCGGGTGTGTATGTGTGTGTGTGCATATGATTAGGCATACACACATACATATACATGACCAAATGATATATATATATATATATAAGGAGATTTTTTTTTATTAACCCAATATATTTTATTACTTAAATGTTATTTTTAGTGGATACCCGTATTTAAGTAGACGCTTGGTTTATTTATTAAACAATATATTTTATGTCTACATTTTAACACCAGCTCTTTCCTTTGATTTAATAATTTTGCATTAATTATTGTATTTTATTATTCTAATTCCACCCCAACCAAAAAAAAACATAGCCTGCATCAATCTTTAAAACTATTCGGAGCAGGTGCGAAACCTATAATTTTCCAATCTATCCGAGTGTTCAAACCTTTTCCTTCAATTCAAAAATTTCTTTGAAAGAGCTGTTTGGCGTGTAGGATTGTTAAATGAGTGTTTATGAGTATAAATTCTCTATTTCAATTCTCTCGTGGACGAAGGAGATCATGGCTCTCCACAATTTCCTGTCCTTTGTAACTCTTAATAAATTTGATCGTTTTGTTATTTCTCCCAAGCCCTGCTCTGCCATCCATTTACTCAAGTAGGTTATACGTTGTTTTCCTCTGTCTATTTTGTCTTCAATTCTCCAAGCCCTCTTTCCTCATTATGTGCCCCAGAAACCTCAACTGTCTCATCCTGATCTTAAGTATTAGTTTTCAGATTTGTTTCCATTTTCTCCAGAACTTCGTCGTTTCTCACATGTTCGGTCCATGGTATCCCCAGCATCCTTCTGTGGAGCCACAGTCCGTTTTCCCCCAAGTACCCTCTTCATTAGGGTACACTAAATTCTAAATGTAGTGATATGTCAACAGGAAAACTGTTATCATCTGGTTATCACCTGATTATCACCTGTTTAGCATCTGGTTAACATCTGATAATCATCTGGTTAGCATCTGATAATCATCTGGTTAGCACCTGGTATTCCACTAATAAATATTCTTGGAATCCTCTCATTTTGCATTAACGTATTAATTAAGATAATACTGTATCATTAGTACACTGTTCAATTGAATATTTTGTAACAGAGAATCGGGTTGGCCCAGTAAAAGACTCCGAGTTGGTTGTATGTGGTGCTGTAAGCACTAGGAGTTGCATCCTCTTCCACAATGGGCTGTTGAGAGAAAACCTTCTACTTAGACTTGGTGGCGCTGACTATTTGCATATGTTATATAGCTCTCCCAGTCCCAGACCAACGCTGACTATTGGATAACCACCCAGAATCGTTTATATGCAAATAGTCAGCGCCACCTTCTCTAAGTAGAAGGATCACCAGAAGAAAACGCCCGCTCCCACCCTGCTTGTTGGTCCTGTGATCAGGAGATCAGGGAGGAGTGTAACAGAATCAGGTCAGCCTGATAAAAGTCTCCGAGTTGGTTGTATGTGGTGCTGTAAGCACCAGGAGTTGCGTCCCCTTCCACAATGGGCTGTTGAGAGATATTACTAATCACATGTATGTCGGAGTATTGCTTTTAATACTGTCTTTTCTTTAAAACTGTCTTTTCTAGGTTCATCCAGGTTTGTATCTGGTAGTTATCTGGTTTGTATCTTTTAGCTATCCGACATTCGTGTTCTTAAACCACCAGGTAACTGGTACATATTTAATGATATACCATCAGTGTATAAATTGTTCAAATGTTAATTGATTCCGAGCGATTTCGGTTAAAATGTTAGCCATTTTTAAGCATTATTTTTGTTCTACTACTATATAATTAATACTATTTGCTCTTGCAGATGGTATAAGAGTTGCTGATATTTACTATTGAACATATACTTAAATAGCCTTTATACCATCTACAATAGCATTTACATATCGTTAATGATAGTATTATAAAAATAATACTTGTTAGCCATTTGTAGTATATTGCTTCTGGGATCAAATAAGGCGACGAACTTATATATAAACTAAATATATATATATATATATATATATATATATATATATATATATATATATATATATATATATTTTATTGTTCGAGTTGCGGCTAATGAATAGAGTGAGGGAGAATCACAGAGGTTGTGATGCACACAAGAATTGAAGGAGACAAATCTTCGGTGAATCTCTAGTCAGCCTCACTCTTCAGATCAAGAATCGGACCGGTTATATAACATGTGGACACCTACGCAACTTCAGGTACCTACGCCTTCTTCCGGTACGTCGCCTACGCAACTTCATGCTGCTACGCTATTTCCTTCCGATCAGGACACCTGTGCGCACTCTTTATTCAAGGCTCAAGATACCTGTACGTCCTGTTTATTTTAGCCACCGGGTGCATCCTTGTTTATGTTATCATCAGTTCCGATTTCTGGTCACACACTGATGCAGCGGAAGTAAGGCCAAAGTTCTTTAATCAATCGATATCCAACACATTTTCAAGGATTCTTTTTTTGTTATACCACTACCATTAAGATTTTGGAGATTTTTTACAATTATTAAGTACAGAAAATAAGACACTGGTACGTATACAATAAAGCATAAAAAACTGAACAAAAGTACCTTGTCAGTTTTGTTCAATGAAATACACACATACACACGCACACACATACACGTGTATATATTCAGTGCGAACAAAACTTAGCAGACTTTTATATATTTTTCAAAATTAAAAACGCATCTTTTGCAGAAACACTCATACAAAACCTCGAAAAAAGAAAATTAGTGGTTGTTTATATATTAAACATTCTGTGGGGTTTATGCTGTTACAGGATTTGAACAATTTTGCAATTAACCCGGTGTACACACACACACACACACACACACACACACACACACACACACATATATATATATATATATATATATATATATATATATATATATATATATATATACCACAGAATTTTATATGGCTTTGAAAATGACGGAACACATTCTTTTAAAGGAACAATTTTTTGTCCAACACTCCCCCAGAAAAATTCGTTGAAACAACAATATTCAAAACGGCGAAATGAATTATTGGACGAGAAAATCTCTCTCTCTCTCTCTCTCTCTATATATATATATATATATATATATATATATATATATATTAATAAGAAGAATACATTTTCCTTAGTGCTAGTACAACTAAAGATGCACTGTAACAGTGAAAATCACGGAAAAATATCCGTGAATATGAACGGATTATGCTAAAAATAAGCAGACATAATGTTTGCAATTTATTTAATTAGACATGCTTAAAAGAAAATTGGTGCCTAAACACACAAATTTTAATAATAATAATAATATATATATATATATATGTATATATTGAAAAATACATCCATACCCCCTACCAAAACGTAACTAATAACTGATACATCAAAATACAGACATAATGAACATGCAGACACCCCTTGTCTGGTCAAAGTAGATTTCTCTGTAACCTTGGAAACGTGAATTGAGATTTTAGCTGTGTCTTTAAAACCCAGTAATTTTAAAAGTTACTCCAAAATTCGCTTGAGGATGAAATAGAACTAATGTCTTTAATTTAATTACAAAATTAAATTCGGAGCTTTTAGCTTACATTTTTGAAACATGGTTAGTACTGTGTAGCGAAAAAAATCTATATTTTAAATCAATTAATTTATGATATATATATATATATATATATATATATATATATATATAATAAACTAAGAACAAAAACAATAGGATTTTCCCAACCATGTAACAACAAAAGAAGTTTATGCTGCAACCACATTAAACACACGAATTCATTCACTAGCTCAGTCACTAAATCTACTTTCAAAATCTACCACGATTCTAACTGTAGAAGTCATAACATAATTTACCTCCTAGAATGCACACTATGCCAGAAACAATATGTAGGAAAATCTGAATGGCCCTTTCACTACAGAATTAATAATTATCACAATCGAATTAAGTCGACTCCCCATGAAAAATTATTACCTGTAGAACAACATTTCCGTCTAAAAAAAACACGATTTCAAAACCCATGCCAAATTCACTATAATTGAGAGAATAGAAAAGTTCAGAGCAGATAACATTAGAAAGATTTTAGAGTTCCATGAAAATAAGTGGATACAACGTTTAAAAACACACTATCCAGCCGGGCTAAACCATAAATTTAACAATATAGATAGTACTAATATATCACACTGCAAATCAAAACCTACCCACATTTCTCACCCACACAAGACAGACATGCTTACTGAGGTGTTGAGGCCTCACACTTATACACACATCCACACGAAAATATACAGACTTACACACATCATACTCACTCACTCCCTAATGATCCAAATGATAACACACACCCATATCAATATACACGCCTACACATATCATACTCCCTCCCTCCCTAAGAACCAAATAACACACACACAAACACTAAACAGAGACACATCCCCTCTCCAGGACCAATAAAACTGTCAAACTGCCCAGGGGAATTCAGAGCAGCATAGATCCATCCAGCTCTTATCTCAAATAACAACTTAAAAGAGACTGTTTGACCAACACAAGGAATGTTAAAAGATTCATGTTAAAAATATAAAAAAAATTAAAAAAACAAAACAAATGAAAACTACAAACAAAAGTTCATTTTCTCTATCAAGACATTCATTTCTGTAGTTCACTGCTACCAGCAAGCAGAAATATGTCTTCTCCTGATGATGGCCATTTTGGCCGAAACTAGTCGAGGAATCTAAATGAAGTAATAATAAAAAAAACGAAAGAATATTAATCTACAACTCAGTGTGTCTGAAGATTTTAATTTTTTAATATTTTTTATTGTTCAATATATATATAATAAATTTACTAATTTAAAAATATGCTCCCATCGGTCAAAGGTCTTACCACGTTTTAGAAACAGAAAGTAAAACTTTAAATTTGATTATAGAATTAAATTCAAATACCTAGTACTGATTCATTTTCAAGCGATTTTTTGAACTATTCCAAAAATATAAATATATCTATACCTCCACATATACACCTAACTTTGATGTTATATATCAAGCACTATTTTATTAGCACCAGATCTCAATGTGTAATATTACATATAGTTAAACAGTGAAAGCTAAAAAGTAAGACTTTTGTGGCTACAAGAAAGAGTTATGCAATTCGCTTGTAGCTATCATTGGTTGCATCATTGTTGAGAGTTTCTGGTGAAGGCAGATATTTCAGTTTTAAAGAAACATTAATAGATACAGACAGAAGCTTAAAATTCTCTTTCCAGGACAGCAAAAAAAATCCGCTGAAAGTGACAAGTACTGTCACTATTTGTTAGGATAACCGAACGGGAGAGTTCAGAAGAATGCGTAGCCAGGGCAAAAGGTCAGCACTTTGGATTGCCTGTCCATTTGTAGAATCTAGAAGAGAAATGGAATCGCGTTTACTAGGAAATGGTCTTCTACTCGTCTGACAAAAAGGATGAAAAAAGAAACGTAATAATGGAAACGTATCTGAATATTTAGTAGGAATATTTTGTCCTTGGGCGTTTCGTTTATAGACATTTTCACGTGTTAGGCAAAATATTCATGTCGGTGATAAAGAAAAAAAAATCACCGGAAAAACATCCCCAGGATTAATGATATTTAATTCTGGAAAAGTTCTATTATTGAATAAAAATTGCTCACGATGACAAATTCATCCACATGTGGGCCTCTCAGAAAACATCGAACTCACTACAGTAATAATTGCCTACAAAGCTATATTATTCATCATTTCTTTAAGAAAGCACCTATATAGTTATCTTAATCTGACACAAGGCCAAATGTATGAGGCTCCCAGGAAGAATCTAAGCTAGTAGTATATTATATATATATATATATATATATATATATATATATATATATATATATATATATATGTATATGCGGGTTATACGAAAAGGAAGTTGATTCGAAATCTCCATTGCTTTTTAACAGTGTATATTATTCATTTCCTGTGTTATCATTTCTTATTTTTGACTGGTTTTTGTCCGATTAGCAGGAATTATGGCTACTTTATGACACACACACACACACACACACACACACACACACACACACATTCTTATACTGATTCTGATGGCGTGTAAAACGCACATGGTATTATAGACACAGTAGAACAATAGCAAATGTTTGAGTCGTATAGCTTTATAAACAATCAAATAGGGTTTCCCTTTCAGTCTCACCGTATAAATTGTATTTTATGCTTTCTAAATCTATCTATCTATCTATCTATCTATCTATCTATCTATCTATCTATCTATCTATCTATCTGTCCATATCTAAGTATGTTCTATCTATCTATCTATCTATCTATCTATCTATCTATCTATCTATCTTTCATAGTCTGTTCATATATATGTATGTTCATATCTATCTATCTATCTATCTATCTATCTATCTATCTATGTGTTCATATCTAAGTCTGTTCTATCTATCTATCTATCTATCTATCTATCTATCTATCTATCATAGTCTGTTCATATATATGTCTGTTCATATCTATCTATCTATCTATCTATCTATCTATCTATGTGTTCATATCTAAGTCTGTTCTATCTATCTATCTATCTATCTATCTATCTATCTATCTATCTATCTATCTATCTATCATAGTCTGTTCATATATATGTCTGTTTCATATCTATCTATCTATCTATCTATCTATCTATCTATCTATCTATCTATCTATCTGTTCATATCTAAGTCTGTTCTATCTATCTATCTATCTATCTATCTATCTATCTATCTATCTATCTATCTTTCATAGTCTGTTCATATCTATCTATCTATCTATCTATCTATCTATCTATCTATCTATCATAGTCTGTTCATATGTATATATGTTCATATCTATCTATCTATCTATCTATCTACCCCCTCACACACACACATATTAGTTTGAGTTGATTTCTCTCTCTGTCTATCCATTTCACTTTGCTTTGATCTCTCTTCCCCATCCATCCTATCTCTTTATGCCTTGCTTCTGTCTCTCTCTCTTTTTTTCTCTCTCTAGATTCTTTGAATTGCAAACATAAAATACAATTTTCATTCCAAAGGATTTACCCGAACATTAAATGAAGTCCACTATTCTGGTATTATGGATAGTAGACAGATCACCTCTGAATTCTCGAATTAGAGATGCAACAATAACTCTCTGTAAAGATGAATTTTGTGTACTTGTAAAATATGCAGCAAAACGGTATTATGCGTAGGAGATCAAATAAACCAGAGCTATTTACGACCGACAATTCAGAGGCGATAGTCAGTGAAGCGTTTGTAAAAAAAAATTTTTTTTAAATGATTGATTTGTTTTTTACGGTTTATCAACCATTTGTGGATTATTTAAAGCCGCAACATATTTGGGATTGTAAGAGTATTTCTTTTTTTTGTAAGTGAATTTGCATTAACAATGCTTTGATGATAACAAGGATTTTTTCAGATACAATTTTTACTATTTAATCCATCGCTGAGAGAAGTGATGGATTCATACCTTTCCCAAAGGTATTTACGCGTATTGTGCAGAAACAAAAGAAAAACGAAGTCATTATTGACTTGTTTTTTGATTTGGAATGACAAAGGATTTGCTTATTCTAATTTGTATAGAAAATAAGGTTTTTACAAAATAATTATTGATATATTTGCCAATTCGTTCATATTTGGTCTCGATGCCACATCATATGATTTTGTTTTCTTTTTTTTATGTGAACACTTCCTTTGTTCTGTATGGTGGGGATTACAGAAAAGATCCAAATAAAATATTTTTCATTCATTTGAATTTTATTCATTAATTGTTAAAATTGATTTTTTTTTGTTTTTGGCTGAATAATTGTGTAAAACACGAATTTCGTCGGAAAACTGAAAATTGCGATTTAGTTTTTCGCAAAATGTTAAAAGCAAACCAGGTTGAATATAAATTTGCTTTGTAATTTAAAACAACGCCATCTTTAATGTTAAAAAGTAAAAACTTAAATTAATTGAAATTATGATAAAATATTACATTTAATCATAAACTATATCAATTTATTGTATTCGTTATCTAAAATAAATCAATGAAACCAATAAATCAATTCAATTAATAAAATTGGTTGAATTGTGAGTAAGATTCACCTTCAAAAGAAGTAGGTATATTTTTCATTCTTTAGCTGTTAATGTGAAGTTGTCATACGATCGAAATGTTTTCTTCTTTTCTTGTAAGTGGTTGAAAACGGTTTGCATTTTGAACACAACAGATGCGGTCACTTGTTGATTGTTTTACAAAGTTTAGAGAATAAATATTTTCATTACTTCAGACATTTTTTTTGTGGGGGGGGGATTTATAATCATCATCGTGTTTTAATCTGATGCACCCTTAAGAATTCGTAGTTTTCTCTGACGTTCTGCGATGACGCATTTAACCCTTTACCCTACATATTTTTCGGACTGTTCATTTTTGTTTACATCGTAGAAAAACATGGTTCATGTGACGGCCGCTAAGGGAATTAAGAAATTTCTCCAACATTCAGGCCGGTAAACATCATAATAAATACTTATTTAAAAAAAAACAACAAAAAACAAAAATAAAATTAAAAAAGAGAGCATTTACTTAAATAAATTAATCTGAAAAAAAAAAAAGGTGTAAATGGAATATACATACATACATACATACATATATATATATATATATATATATATATATACAAAACACACACACACACACACACACACACACACACACACACATATATATATATATATATATATATATATATATATATATATATATATATTGTGTACTGGATTTGATAAAATAGTGCTCAATGTAATATAACAGAGCTATTAAGATTATATTAATGAATATACATATTATCCCTTACCGGCAGCACGACTCAGAGTTTTATGCACAATGCAATTTTTTTACTCAGCACCTGAAGATTGCGTTCGTTATACGTGGATCTCAGACTCATGGGGTCAATGAGGAATAATATATAGATTTACTAATATATATATATATATATATAGTACTGGTAATCGATCCGTTGGTATATAATCCTGGTGGCTCCTAGTAATATTAATATTTAAAACTGATCCACAGAGAGCTCGATGTTTTTATTTCAACAGAGCATATCAAGGCGCCTTCCAGAGACTGGCTTTGAAAAATAAATAAGTGCCCTGGAGAACGGTTTAAAATAGTCTATTCCGATGTTAATCTTTTTTTTGCTGTAATATATATATATATATATATATATATATATATATATATATATATATATAGTTTATAAAAAACTAGATAATCCGTATGGGTAAAACCTAAGGAGGATAAATATAAAAAAAAGAGGATATATATATATATTTGCATACACGTTCTTACGTACGCAAAATCTCTCTCTCTCTCTCACACACACACACACACACACACACACACACACACATATATATATATATCTTCTCACAAATACAATATGAGAATGATTTGGTCTTTGTACAAAATTTCATTGTGCGTAATCCTCCAGGTGTTTTTCAAAAAAAAATAAAAAAATGGCTTCTCTTCAGCTTTCACGTGTTAAAAAAAATAATTCCTAATTAGAAATTTCTCAATGCATTGTGCGTCACGAAAATACACTCGTACGCAAACATACACACACTTTGCAACTTGCATATACACACACAGTCACATATATAAGCACATATATATTCTTTCCCTCACGCCAACTGACGGACTATCTAAAAAACTATAAATATCAGCTAATTTTAATCAGATGTTATGACTTTGGGCAATTTGAATCAGTTTTTATAATCAAAATAGACCACTCGCTATGTACACAATCATAGTTTAATTCCATATATTACACACACACACACACACACACACACACACACACACACACACACACACACACACACATATACATAATGTATGATGATGATGATCATCATCATCATGGTTGAGCGCAGTAGGAGGACATCCATCAAACAGTCCGCGGTGGTTGAAGCGGTTAAGCCCAGCGCCCAAAAGCCCGACGGTACTCGACTGATTGTTTGTAGTCATTCATAACTTGTGCAAAATTCAGTTGTCTCTCAACATCAGGTAGCCTTGATCTAACGACTCAAAATAATTGGAGATTGTCTGTGACGTAAGCAATTCGAGTAGACTGATAGTTAAGACTCAGAGAGAGAGAGAGATAGAGATAGAGAGAGAGAGAGAGTGTGTGAGAGAGAAAGAGAGAATGTGAGAGAGAGAGAGAGAGAATAAGTAGAGACAGAAGCAATTTTCGTTTTAAAGAAGACATTTGATAAACAAAAACAGAAATTATAAAATTTCATCTCCTCTTTTCTATTATAAGGCAGTGACAAGTTTTGTAATCAATGGCAGACAGTCGCTCTCTCAGTCTTTGTTCACTACTCTGAGCAGTTAGGGAAGACAAGCAGACAGGCCAGTGGATTTTGGTGGGTAACACATGCAGACTTTCTATGACAGTGCGGTTTGGTGGGAAGGAATGGTTTGTAAAAGGTCACAGTGCTAATTTTTCCATCTTTTGATGGGAATGTTGTAGTGTCAGTTGTTTATGAAAAGGGTTAATACGTCGGATTATCTGTCTCTGGTACAATATATAAATAAATTTTCTCTCTCTCTCTTTCTTTTCCCCATACATATATATATATATATATATATATATATATATATATATATATATATATATATATATATATATCAGTCAGTTATATGCCATGCGTGATATATTTTCCTTATATATATATAAATATATCAGTCAGTTGTGTGCTATACGTGATATACTATTGGATGACCATGCATCTTTCGATACATGACTGACGAGGCAGATTTTTTCACGCAGTAGGTTGCCAATTTTTTCTTCAGTAGACCAGTTGACATCCGAGGCTATAGAACCCGGTCTGTCCTGCTATTTACCCATAGTGGAGGAGAGGGCGATTCATACCTTTCCCAAGGGTATTAGCACGTAAGTGAATGGATTCGACTGGAATTCGAACTCGGCTTTCCGATTCCTCAACCCGAGCCGCTATCCATTACTCCACCGTATAATTGTTCCTTCTGTTTGTCTCGAGATTCTTGCCAAAATCCAAAGAAGGATCTGTAATGTAATCGGTCCTGACCTGGCATCTCGGCTTCAGTCACTTTCCCACCAACGTAACGTGGCTTCCCTCTGTCTTTTCGATAAATAGATAAATAATAATCGCCATCTTCTGTCTTCTTGAATCCCCTTCGTCTTTTGGCCGTTCTCAATCGTCCCTAAACTCCTTCTCTTTCACTTCCCCTTCCTGTAACTCTCTGAGTAGTAGTGGCATTCCCGCTTTGCTTGGGCTGAAGTTATTAATATATATATATATATATATATATATAATAGACTCTCCCGTCGGTTTTCGACGTATGAGGTTCTGACAACTTTGTTTTTTTTAACTTTGTATGTGAGTCGCAAGTGACATTTCAGTCCTGCTAGTGATTTGCAAAAAAGTCCACAGATTGTGAAAGAGTGTGGATTCTTGGAGTATATGGCTGGAACAGCAGCAGATATTTTATTCCTTTCCCTAGTTTGACGAAGCTTGACAATGTTTGATGCTGCCTTGTTCTTGATGCCATTGTAGCATGTAGTCTTCCATTCATTACGATCAATTACGATGTTCTCAAACGTAGTGTGATTTATATTCGCAGCTAAGTGGTTACTCTTCAGCTTGTCCCTGTACCTAAGCAAAGGTCGACCGAAGTTTCGATGACCATTGTCAAGTCGACCATACATGAGCATTTTTGGAATTCTGTTGCCTTGCATACGTAACACATGACCTGTCCAGCGTAATTGTGATTCCACGAGAAAGGACTCAATACCATCAATATCAAACATGGTGAAAGGTCTGCATTTGCCATTCTGTCGCTTAGGTTTACCCCACAGATTTCCCGAAGACAGCCTTTGTGAAAAATATCTATTTGTTGAATTTGCTTTCTGTATAGTGTCCAGGACTCTGAGCCATACAAAAGGGTTGTGAGAACTACAGCCTTGTACACCTGTATTTTGTTCCCAAGCCTAATACCACGATCTTTCCAAAGTCGATGACGAAGTTTTCCGAAGGCACCAGAGGCTTTTGCTATTCTATTGATTATCTCATCATCCAGTGTTCCACTTGAATTTACTTTGCTGCCAAGATAATTAAAATTCTTTACATACTTCGGATTATGTCCGTCGACTTGGATTGGTATATATTTGTAGGTCTCGAGGAATTGGATCGTATTTACGATTCCAATGGAATAAATTATGACCATGGAATATTAGTGTTTAAGCCTTTTTATTATATTTTTTTTTATATATATATATATATATATATATATACACACACTGTATACAACTCAATATCTGTGTGTATAAGCAAGCGTATGTATTATCATATAACACACACAGATACACACACACATATATATATATATATATATACATGTAAGTGTGTGCCACAAGTCATCGTGACTATATATGTATGCGTGTGTGTGTGCTTGCGTATCTGTGGGTCTGTGTATTTATGCATATAAAATCTTTGCATATATCATGCATATTAAGTCAAATATATATATATTTATGTAGCTGTTTGGACGCGTTCTAATATTTGTTTGTACGTATGTGCGTGTGTGTGTACGTATGTGTGTGTGTTAACAATCATATATATATATATATATATATATATATACAGTGTAACCCGGATATAAGAGAGTTGTCAGGACCGGAGAAGTCTCTTATATCCGGTTTTCTCTTATATCCGGGTTTGGTCTATTTTATATACATTAACACAGGCTCTAATTTGGGATCAGAGAAAATCTCTCTTATATCCGGGTTTCTCTTATATCCGGGTCTCTTATATATATATATTATGTGTCCGTGTATGCGTGCGTGTTTATGTGTTATGCACAGAAGTCTCCCGACTTTCCACCCCATGTTTTGTTCAGGAAACCTTGCCATAACATTATTATATACATTTCGAAGTTATCATTAGGTACATGAAAAAAGAAAAAAAAAAAAAGAAAAAAAGAACCTGAAGGTAAAAAATCGTACACGTCGATATGACGCTAGTTTCATCGTCCATTGTTTTCTTTTCTAAGTTTCTCCCTAGAGAGTAACCAACGCGTTTATGTCGTGTACATTCTTTTATTACAGAAACAGAAGTGCTTTCTAAATATTTCTAGTCTTGTTTTGTCAAAATATATATATATATATATATATATATATATATATATATATATATATATATATTTTAAATCTCTTAAAAAGTATTTCGTAAATATTTTGCATTTCCGAAGGATGTAGACAGAAAAACGTCCGTCCTGTTTCATTCAAATCAACGAAGTTTTGTTGGATGCAAAATAACAATACATGCAACAATACAAGCAGCAGCCATTGTTATGTTCTTCGCTTCAGGCGAAAGAACACGAATCTAATCAATTTATCTTTGCGTCTATAAAGACAATTTTGGGATAATGCAATGCATTCGCATAAAGATTCTTTGCTTTCTTTCTTAATTCAGCCTCTTATTTTTGAAGCAGTATTTGTTCACATAAGATTATGAAAGCATTTGATTTAAACTTGCTAAAATCATTATTATTAATGTTTGCTTCATTTAATCATCGCTGATTTTTTTTTATTGCAGCATTCAAGTTTTTTTTAAAGCCAACGTTGAATGACCGGAAATAAAATATAATCGTCCGACGAGATTTGAACTTTGATTTCTTTAAAAACTTTGGGAAACTTTTTAACTTCTACAATGGTTTACTGGTTAGTCTATGAAATCTTATAGAAGACATTCAAATTTAGTCATATAATTCATATTATTCTTAACCAATTTATTTCCTACCATATGGTTTCCAACTATTAGTAATAAATATAATAGTCGTCGTTGGTCTGAATTTCTCAGATGGATCATTGCAATTATTCATTTTTTTATTCATTTCACTCCAAGCAAGGTAATAAATCCACTAAGACACAAGGGGTGACTGCGTGTGAAAAATAAGAAAAAGTGAAATATTATTAAGGAGCAAGAACAACAAAAGAAGAGGAATCAAGAAAACGGAGATAACGATTGACATTACATTTGGTTTGTTTTGTTTTACGGCAGATCAACCACAATGGATTATTTAATGCCGACAAGATTTTTATTACTGCTAATATTTTTTATCTATCTATCTATCTATCTATCTATCTATCTATCTATCTATCTATCTATCTATCTATCTTATCTTAGTATGGTTTGTTTTACGGTATATCAATCTCAATGGGTTATTTTAAGGCCGACAAAATTTTTATTGTTGGTAATATTTTTTTCAAAAATCTATTTCTGGTAATAATTTTTTTTTCAAATATGTATCGCTGGTAACATTAATTTTTTCTTCTTTTTCTTTTTTTTAATCCAAAAATATATTGCTGGTAATATTTGTTTTTCAAAAATGTATTGCTGGTAATAATTTTTTACAATGTATTTCTGGTATTAAAACCTATTTTTACACTTTCATAGTGTTTTCATCCCAGTTTGGGGGTTAACTATTTGCCCATAACGAGGACCCTAACATGTTGCTCCTGGAATCGGCCTGATTCCAAAATGGTATGATATGTTGGGCTACAGCCTCTAGGAATAAAATTGAAAAAGTGTGGCACAGTGACACACTAACATTTGTATTTATTTTATAGATATATATAGATGTATTTTTATATTCGTAATAATCAATGCATTTCCTAAAAAATTATTTTAAAATAATTGCTAATTAATAAGTATTTCTTGTTTTATTAATTCGCAATACAATGAATATTAGCAAAAATTCTAGCAGCATTTCTTCTTTCTTTTATTTTTTACAGACTGAGTGGGAAACAAAAGAAATTTATTGATGCGATCGAGAAATACGAAGAAGCAGTCGAGTTAACTAAAAAGATTCATGGAAAAGAGAGTGTTCATTTGATACCAGTCTACAAAGAATGGGCAAAAATATCCTTTTACCGTCTTTCTTTTTATGTGCCATGTCCTTTAAGGACGTAGGCGATCATGGCTCTCCACTCCCCCCTCTATCCCTTGCAGCTCTCAACAAGTCCCTTCCCTCTGCTACCTCCCCCCAGACCACATTCTGTCATCCACTTGCTTAAGGCCGCCAGGTATATCATGCGTTGTTTTCCCTTGTCTCTCTTTCCCTCTATTCGACCCGTGAGTATCAGATTCTCTACGCCCTCGTTCCTCATTATGTGTCCCAGAAACATCAGCTGCCTCTTCCTGATGTTAAGTATATGCCTCCTCCTTGTTTGCATCCTCTCTAAGACCTTATGATAGCTCTCCACCTCCCTCTATCCCTTGCAGCTCTCAACAAGTCCCTTCCCTCTGCTTCCTCCTCCAGACCACATTCTGTCATCCACTTGCTTAAGGCCACCAGGTATGTCATGCAATGTTTTATCTTGTCTCTCTCTCTCTATTCAACCCATGAGTATCAGATTCTCCAGGCCCTCCTTTCTCATTGTGTATCCCAGAAACTTTAGCTGCCTCTTCCTGATGTTAAGTATATGCCTCCTCATTGTTTGCAACCTCTCTAAGACTTCATTGTTGCTTACATGCTCGGTTCATGATATCCTTAGCATCCTTCTGTAGAACCACATCTCTGTTGCCTTGAGTCTCTTCTTCAACTTTGAGGAAATCGTCCAACATTCGCTGCCGTAAAGAAGGACAGATGTCACGTAACAGTTCAGTATTTTTTTCTTTATTAAAGAAATCCTCCTGTCTCGCAATACTCTGCCTAGCTTTTGAAATGCGTCCTTGGCCATCCCAATACGTCAACGGATCTGAGTGTCGCATTTACCGTCCCTCTGTCAAGACCCCCCCTTCCAGATACTTAAACTTCCGCGTTTGCTTGATTCTAGTGTTACCGACCTTCAAATCGCATTTCGGGCTCGTTCTTTTACTGATGATCATTCAGACTGTTTTCTTGGAGTTTATGCTCAGTCTCTTCTCCACACTCTCCGTCGCTACCTTCTGTAAGAGATTTTGTAATTTCTTTTTCGTGTCTGCTATCAGTACTGTGGCATCTGCGAATCTTATGTTGTTGGCACAGAAACATTGTGCGAAAATGGGGTAAGAATGATTGTGTGGCGTCAAATGTTGTACATATGGAGGGAGTTTGCTTGCTGCATTGAAAATTAAAATTCGAGGCTATTTAAATTCTTTATTGAAGGAGAAAAATCACAATAGGGTTTTAGTGAGAAAGAAAGAGATGTCTGAGAGAATGTAAAAGCAGAATGGGAGAAGTGGTTGGATGCCAGAGAAGGAGAGAAAGTAAGGCATGAGAGACGGGGAGAAAAAGATTAGAGAGAAAGAGAAACCTTAAGTAAAAAGAGAGAGCAATATGAGATCGAAAAAGAGAAATATAAGAGATAGATAGATAGATAGATAGATAGATTTGAAAGAGAGAAAGAGAGTAATATGGTAGGGGAGAGAAGATACACACCAGAAAGGAATAGAGAAAGAAACGCGAAAGAAATGGAAAGAGAAGCATTAGAAAAAGAGATGACTGAAGAGAAAAGAGAGGGCAATTTTAGCGAAAAAGAGAGAAATATAGAAAAGAGATAGATAGGGAGAGAGAAAGAGAGAGAGAGGAAGAGAGGAAGAGGGCATTTAAGAGAGAAAGAGAGGGTTAAATGGGAGCGGAGAGGAGACAAATGGAAAAAAGAAATAGAGAAAGAAATGTGATAGAAGGCGGGGGGGAGCATTAGAGAGAAAAAAAAGAGGACCAAGGAAGAGAGAAGAACGGGAATGTAAAAGTGAGGAGCGTATGTGAAAATGAAAGAGAGGTTAGCAGGAGAGAGGAGAAGAGCCACGAACTAGAGAAGAATAGAAAAAAGAAAGGCGAAAGAGATGGGAAGTGGCGATATTAGAGATAGAGAGAGGACTGAGGGGGAAAGGAGAAAGAGATATGAGGCAGAAAGAGAGAAAAATGGGAAAGTGAGAAGGGAGGAGATGTAAGAGAGAGAAAAGAGAGAGAAAGAGAGAGAGGGGGTAGTATAGGATAGGAAAAGAGGTGCGTGTCAGAAAGAAAAGGAAAGAAATGCTACATGAACAGAAAGAAATAGATAAAAATGGTTAAGAAAGAGAGAGGAGGACTTGTGAGAGAGAAAGAAGCAGAAAGAATGGAGCGGGGGGGTGCAGCATTTTACATTAATAGTATTTAGTTTTACGAAATTATTTTGTGTTGAGAATTTTGAGTTGATATTTTGGACGTTAAAGTTCACTTGCAGTAAAACGATACTTAGACATCTGGCATTGAAAGGAAGACTTTGAGAGTACTTTCGATTCTTGAAATGGCGTCATATGTCAAATTAAATATAATCCAATCAGTAATCGGTGCACTTCAATCGGAAGAAAGAGATTTGAAGTTTTCTCCGCCACGTCAATCAGGTTATTATAAACTAATATGAATGAACAATCTCCATTTCAAACATCTTTAAATGCCTACGATATTAATATGAAGCACCTCCGACAGTGTAATGCGAAATGAGCCATTCTCAGCCAATTTTATTACCTTCATTCTCACTGGGAGGCTTATAATTCTGTCGATATGTAGTAGTAGTAATAATAATAATAATAATAATAATAATAATAAAATATATATTTTCTTAATTGGTCAGTGGAAATTGTCATGATGCCATTTCTAAACTTAGGTCTCTGGACGGGACCCGGAAAGAAATGTGCAAACACCAGAAATAAAAGGAAATAATAATAATAATAATAATAATAATAATAATAATAATAATTATTATTATTATTATTATTAATTTTTATTATTATAACTGGTATGAACACCACCCAGAGCCGGTTACGGAGATAGGTCCTGTTACAATTCTATGGGACTACACAGTACACACTAACAGAATAATCAAAGCCAACTGCCCAGACATTGTTATTAGAGACCACAAACAAAAAAAGTGCCTACTTATTGATAAAGCAGTCCCTGCAGACTGCAATGTATTTTGAAGATATTCAAAAAGTTGTCAAAATACAAGGACCTTGAAATAGAAATCTCGAAAATATGGGATCCCTGTTGTATTTGGAGCCCTCAGATTGGTCGGAAAAGATTCCAGTAGACTAATAGAAGAGATTCCTGGAAGCCCATACCTTAAAGAAATACAAAGAATTGTTCTCACAAGTACAGCCCACACTTTACGGAGGGCTTTATCTATATAAAATATATATATTTATTTATTTTTTGTCAGTGGAGAATGTCATGATACCATTTCTAACCTTAGGTCCATGTGCGAGATCCGGAAAGAAATGTGTACACACCAGAAATCAAAGGAATAATAATAATAATAATCATAATGATAATAATAATAATAATAATAATAATAAAAAGAAAAGAAACTGCAATTAAAGACACAGCGGACAAGACGATATGAAAAGAATTGTAGGTTCTGTCGACAAAATAAGTTATTCCAAACGGACCTCAAGAAGTTTTACAGGTAAATTAGAAAAGCAGTTATAGAAGTCAAAAAGCCACCATCTATCGAAGAAGTGCAAATATTTTGGGGTAACATTTGGGGCAACTGAAAGGAATCTAATCCCAATGCAGAGTGGATCAAACGGGAACAAGGCAGAATGAAGGATAAACCTCTACGAAAATGACAAAATGTAACCAAGAGTAATTTTAGGCAAATTCTAACAAAATCTCCAAAATGGAATTCCCTAGGAAATGACATGTTTTGTGTCTATCATCTGTCATCAATTCATAAAACTAGGACACGAACTTTATCAATGCTAATCAATGATAGATCACTGAAGGGATTAAATATCTCCTACCAAAAATAAGTGAAATAGATGATCCTAAAAATTATAGGCCAATAACATGTCTGTCCACCATATATAAATTGATCCAGTCTGTCCTGATGAACTGTACTTACTCTTTTCTCGATGTAAACAAAATTCTTCCCCTGTAACAGTTGGGATGTCGGAGAGGTTGCAAAGATCAGCTACTAATAAATAAAATGATGCTGGAATATTGCAGGAAAAAAGGTAGAAACCTCAGCACAGCCTGAAAAGATTATCGTAAAGCCTTTGATAGTATGCCACAGTATTGGATCCTTAAGGCTTTGGAAATGTGCAAAGTCTCCTAGGTGATATGAAATTTCTTGAAATATAGCATGAAACTGTAGAAAACTATATTATACCTAAATCACTACAAATTGGTTTAATATCCAACGAAGAATCTTTCAAGCAGACTTCTTGTCGCCCCTTCTCTTCTGTCTCTCCTTAATCCTTCTTTCGCATGAAATAAACAGTAACAACTATGAATATAAAATAAAAAAAGAAATCATTTAATCGCCTATTTTAAATGGAATGATATCTAACATTTTTCCACAGACAACAATGAGTTGAAGGGTTTCCTCAATACTGTAAAATGTTTTAGTGATAGCATCGGTTTGAATTTCAGATTATATAAATGTGAAAAAGTAATATTTAGAAAAGGGAGAATTACAGACATATACTCAAATCAGATCTCGATTTTGTCACAAAGATCAGGGAACTGGAACAAGAAGAAGCCTATACATACCGAGGAGTTAGCGAAGGAAATGGAAATACACAAATGAAGAAGAAATTAAGAAAAGAATATTACAGGCGTATACGTCTGATTTTAAATACCGAATTGAATTCACAAAACAGGATATCAACCATAAACACTTTGGCTGTCCCTGTGGTGCAATACAGTTTTGAAAATCCTTAATTGGACTATAACTAACATCAATCGAATGGATGCCCAAACGAGAAAGCTTCTCATTTGCCACCGCATACATCATCCTAAAACTGATGTCGATCGTCTTTCTGTGTCCAGATCTGAAGGAGGAAGAGGATTAGTTCAACTAGAATTGTCTTACAAAAACACAGCAATCGGTCATCAAAGATACCTGGAAACTACAGAAGATTGGATGATGATCTGTGTCAAAGAACATGAAAGAAATAAGTAATTTTATTCATTAATAAAGGAAGCCAACAAATTCTAAAGAGAATTTCAAGTGAGTTAAGAAATGTAAATAAAAATTGATGAATCCACTACAGCATTCAATGAATGCCAAAATGGAATAATGATAAATTTGATGAAAAATTAAGGCGAATTGGGATAGTGATAAATACTTTCCAAAAACTAAGCAAAGTATTAAGAAACAGAAACATTCAGTTAGAAACAAAGAAAAGAGTACTGAACTGTTATATAATGTCAGTTCTCCTATATGGCAAAGAATGCACAGATGAAGAAGAAACTTGAAGCAACAGAAATATGGTTCTACAGAAGGATGCTGAGACTACCATAAACTGAACAAGTGAGCAACGACGAAGTTTTGGAGAAAATGAAAACAAGAAAGAAATATCAGGAAGAGATGGTTGATTTCTCACAGAACAGATTAAAGACAAGAGGGGGTAGAGGAGAAGAAAGCATACCTCTGCCTAACAAGCTTGCGTGGGTGGATGACAGAGCAGGATTTGGGATACATAGCAAAAGGACAAAAGTTATTAACACCGGTCAATATCACATAAATAATGGAATATTCCGTTTTGATCGCGTGGAAAGAGAAGAAAACGCTACTTGGTTTCAGTAAGAAAATAAAAGATAGAAGTAGAGAGAGAGTGGGAGAGAGAGAGAGAGAATCAGATTAACTTGATAAGAACAGATGCTGAAAACCGAGAAGCAGACAGAGACACGAATGAGAGACGAATTGTAGTTTATCCGCGCGAGGGTAGATACTACACTTTGATCCCAGACCGAGAAGCGGTATTTTTCAGTTCACCCACGTCGCTACTGGATGTGACACACGGTTAATTTAAAACAGGTTTAGCAGAAATACCGTGGGAAAATTGTCCTAGTCCCATCGGCACTTCCCCTTTTGGGGACGTCTCAGGCACCGGGCAATAAACCGAGCCCCCCTCCCGAAGGAGAGGTACTGCCTGTTACTGGGAGGAAGACACCACTGGGAATTGGGCATAGAATTATTTCAAGCACCTGAGCCAAGAGGCTGAGAGGTGATGACGACCGCAATAAAAGTGCCATTTTTCAGACGCACAGTGTCGAACGTTCGAAACCGTGTAAGGCAATCGCTAAAAATCCAGTTAAATAAATAAATAAAATAACGTCTGATGAATGATTTTTAATTTGTTATTAAGAGAAATGTTCATAATACGAGGATTTAGTAATAACAAATTACTCAGCTGTGTGCCGCTTATCCATTACTCCACCGTACCTCCTCAATTAGCTTGCAACACGATAATGATGAAGAACTGTACGTTGAGCCTGAAAGTAATGAAGGCGAAAGTGTCATTTCGACGCAATACAGATATGACAGTGAAATCAAAAGCAATATAGACTCTAAAGATGAACAATTGTTCGAGGATGTCTGCTACTTTAAGATGTCTAGTTACAGCAAGATTATAATCCACTAAATTCGAGATAACGAGTTAAAAGATATGATACTTAAAATGTGACCTCTGACGTTTTTAGGCCATCTGTTTCACAGTTCGTACTATTCGGCCAAACTTGATAAACTCTTGCTGTCTAGGCTTTTAGCAAGAAGCAGGCTAATGTGGTGAGTGGCAATGTTTGGATATAAAAATGGCGTTTAATATTTATTCGTCGTTGCTCGAGGCAATTTACGTTCTTATCTTGTCAGTCGGCGTCCGCCAAAAGCCTTCACTACACACGACGAGGCTCCAGTTTTCGCAGAGGTGGGTCAGATCGAATTACTGAATTCTAATAGTCAACTGTTTAATTAATTTCTTTTTCTGTCTTCGACATCCCGTTGCTTGAGTCGAGTTTGTTTTGCTACCTTCCTAGCTCACATGGTTATCTCAGTGGGGGTGCCGTCAGATCGTTTCTCTAATAACTGTTGTCTTTATAAGTGCATTCCAGAATCTGATGTTCATAAAATAATATTGTCCTTAACGACCTTTTTTTACTTGGAGCAGTCGAAAGGTAAAAACACCAACCACGAACGGGCTATTGACCTCCTTCAGCGGGCACATTCTGTTGCAACAGCCAAGTAAGTCCATATCACCTGTATCATATTCCGAATATTTATGAGAGAACGAAAACAGGAAATAGAGAGAAAGCTGTAAAAGAAAAAAAAAAGAAGATAAAAACAGACGGAAAAAGAGAGACGGAGTATAAAGAGGGAGGGAGTGGGAGAGAATAGAGAAGAAAAAAGAGAGATAGTCATAGAAGGAAACAGACTAATAAACAAAGAATGACATAGATATAGAAAGAAAAAGAAAATCTGGTGGATAAAGATGGGAGAGGAGATAGGAAAAGAGAAAGAGAAAAAGAGACAAAGAGGTGGGAAGGTATAAAGAGAAAGGGGAGAGAAATTGATAGGAATGGATAATGAGAAAAGGAGACTAAGAGATAGAAAGGGATAAAGAGACACTAGGGATAGGAAATGATAAAGAAATAGAAAGGCTAAGAAATAGGAAGGGATAAAGAGAAGGAGAGAATGAGGATAGGAAAAGAGAAAGAGAAAAAGAGACAAAGAGGTGGGAAGGTATAAAGAGAAAGGGGAGAGAAATTGATAGGAATGGATAATGAGAAAGGGAGAATAAGAGATAGAAAGGGATAAAGACAAGGGGAGACTAGGGATAGGAAATAATAAAGAAATAGAAAGGCTAAGAGATAGAAAGGGATAAAGAAATAGAAAGAGTTAAAGGGAAAGGGAGACAAAGAAATGGGAAGCGATAAAGAGAAGGAGAGAATGAGGATAGGAAAGGATAAAGAGAAAGAGATACAGAGAGAGAGAGAGAAAGGAATAAAGGGAAAAGAGAGGCTAAGAGATAGAGAGGGCTAAAGAGAGACTAAGAAATAAAGAGAAGGAGAGAATGAGGATAGGAAAAGAGAAAGAGAGACAGAGAGAGAAAGGGTTAAAGGGGAAAGAGAGGCTAAGAGATAGAGAGGGCTAAAGAGAGACTAAGAAATAAAGAGAAGGAGAGAATGAGGATAGGAAAAGAGAAAGAGAAACAGAGAGAGAAAGGGATAAAGGGGAAAGAGAGGCTAAGAGATAGAGAGGGCTAAAGAGAGACTAAGAAATAAAGAGAAGGAGAGAATGAGGATAGGAAAAGAGAAAGAGAGACAGAGAGAGAAAGGGATAAATGGGAAAGAGATTAGAGAGGATAAAGAGAGACTAAGAAATAAAGAGAAGGGAGAATGAGGATAGGAAAAAGAAAGAGAGACAGAGAGAGAAAGGGATAAAGGGGAAAGAGAGGTTAAGAGATAGAGAGGGCTAAAGAGAGACTAAGAAATAAAGAGAAGGAGAGAATGAGGATAGGAAAAGAGAAAGAGAGACAGAGAGAGAAAGGGATAAAGGGGAAAGAGAGGCTAAGAGATAGAGAGGGCTAAAGAGAGACTAAGAAATAAAGAGAAGGAGAGAATGAGGATAGGAAAAGAGAAAGAGAGACAGAGAGAAAGGGAAAGGGGAAAAAGAGAGGCTAAGAGATAGAGAGGGCTAAAGAGAGACTAAGAAATAAAGAGAAGGAGAGAATGAGGATAGGAAAAGAGAAAGAGAGACAGAGAGAGAAAGGATAAAGGGAAAGAGAGGTTAAGAGATAGAGAGGGCTAAAGAGAGACTAAGAAATAAAAGAGAAGGAGAGAATGAGGATAGGAAAAGAGAAAGAGAGACAGAGAGAGAAAGGGATAAAGGGGAAAGAGAGGCTAAAGAGATAGAGAGGGCTAAAGAGAGACTAAGAAATAAAGAGAAGGAGAGAATGAGGATAGGAAAAGAGAAAAGAGAGACAGAGAGAAAGGGATAAAGGGGAAAGAGAGGTTAAGAGATAGAGAGGGCTAAAGAGAGACTAAGAAATAAAGAGAAGGCGAGAATGAGGATAGGAAAAGAGAAAAGAGAGACAGAGAGAAAGGGATAAAGGGAAAGAGAGACTAAGAGATAGAGAGGGCTAAAAGAGAGACTAAGAAATAAAGAGAAGGAGAGAATGAGGATAGGAAAGAGAAAGAGAGACAGAGAGAGAAAGGGATAAAAGGGAAAGAGAGGCTAAGAGATAGAGAGGGATAAGAGAGACCAAGAAAAAAAAAGAGAAGGAGAGAATGAGGATAGGAAAAAGAAAGAGAGACAGAGAGAGAAAGGGATAAAGGGGGAAAGAGAGGAAGAGATAGAGAGGGCTAAAGAGAGACTAAGAAATAAAGAGAAGGAGAGAATGAGGATAGGAAAAGAGAAAGAGAGACACAGAGAGAAAGGGATAAAGGGGAAAGAGAGGCTAAGAGATAGAGAGGGATAAAGAGAGACTAAGAAATAAAGAGAAGGAGAGAATGAGGATAGGAAAAGAGAAAGAGAGACAGAGAGAGAAAGGGATAAAGGGAAAAGAGAGGCTAAGAGATAGGGAGGGATAAAAAGAAGGGTATACTAAGAAATGGAAAGGGATAAAGAGAAAGGGAGATAGTGAGACAGGATATGAAAAGATAAAGAGTGGGGGGAGAGAGAAATACAGGAAGGCTTGAAGAAAGACAGAGACAGAAACAGCGAAAACCTAAAATGATAACTGCAGTAAAAGTAAGGGAAAAGACTGACCAATTACTGAAAATTAGGAGATGTAAGAAGATCGTGTACCACCGATCTTCCAAGTGGAGAAAGCCTGGCTTAAAAATCAGCATTCCTTGTTTTTATTTGGAGTTGATCACAAACTTCATATAGATTTGGAAGTTGTTCTCATTTTATTCCGACTGGTGACCGCCATTAATCTCATGACCAACAGCTCCTTTGTTTTAAGTGCCATGACTATCTTCAAGACGCAGGCAGTCATGGAGTTCTACAGCTTCCTCTGTTTTTAAATATTTTTTTCTTTTTTTCTTTAATCAATTCACCTCAAGCAAGATGGAAATGACACTACAGCGCAGGGGATTGCAGAGAGAGAAAGACTGAATACACAGGGAGGATTGAGGAAAGGACAAAAGATGAACGGGATTTAAGAAGATAGAAGATGGCGATTTCCTTTAATTTTTTGAAGCTTGTAGTTATCAGGGAAGCAAGGAGACGGAAGGGAATTCCACAAGTGGAGCCGCCAGAAAAGAAGCTATTAGAGTAGAAGCGTCGGTTGTAGTCAGCTATTTCAACAGTAAAATGGTGAGACCCAGATGCCAATCTTGTAGAAAGCTTAAATTCATATAGTGGGGTACCAGAAAGAAAGAAAAAAAGCTTGTCAGAGCAGTTGCGATGAAAATACTTGTAAAAAAAGATAGAGGGAAGACGTCGGTGAGAAAGGGACTGAAGTCGAGATGCCAGGTCAGGATCTATTACATTACAGATCCTTTTTTGGATTTTGTCAAGGAACCCGAGTTGAATTGGGAAATATCTTCATCACAGTTTTGAATTTATTTAAACTCGAAGTGTGGAAAGATATGTGGATTCCTGCTTTTTCCAATTTTATTAGTGCGAAGCGAACACAAACTCTCTAGTCGATTGTTATCTCCCCATCGTTAATCACACCCGCTTAGGATACAAAGAAAACATTTTTATGGCAAAATACCATCATGCAAGATAAAAAAAGTATATTAATTAAGGAATGGTACATACTACAAATAGGTATGAAATTCTTACGTATTTGAAATTATTCAAGAAGACTATTTCGATGAAATAGGTAAACAAAGTAAGTATAACTGTAAATTGAAAGCAAACAGGATTTTTAGAAGGGAAAACGCGTTATGCTGGCAAGAAATGACCAAATAATACAGTAATTGTATTCAAACTTTTTCCTACAGTCTTTGCAGAATTTTCATGTTGCCAAGGAAACGAATCACACATTAATATTGGTCTTTGCTCTCCTTTACACACACACACACACACACACACACACACACATATATATATATATGTATATGCGCGTGTGTGTGTGTGTCTCTATGTGCAGAGTGTGTGTGTGTGTGCTTGTACACACACACACAGATATATATATATATATATATATATATATATATATATATATATATATATATATATAATGATAAATTAAGTAAACGCCATATAAATCCATATCAGTTATAATTTATTTCATGAATAATTTTATATTCCTCTCTTCAGACCGAAAGTTTAAAAAATCATATATATACATGTTTGTATTACGCACACACACAGACGTATATATATATATATATATATATATATATATATATATATATAAATAAATAAATAAATAAATAAAATGGACAAAGTCCGACAATTAATTTAAGACATTTTTTACGTTTATACATTCTTTTTATAGATACAAATATTTAAGTAAATGCTCTGTTTAAAATGAACAGTGTTAACATTTACCGTCCTGAATGTCCGAGAAATTTTCACAGAAAATATTCGTCCTCCGACAGGATTCGCACCTGTATCCTATACGGAACCGTCATATAACCTGATGTGCCTTAACCGATTGAGCCACAGAGGAGCGTTCGGTTAGCAAGATCGATTTTACTATCTTTAAACTATAATTTTCCATGATTCTCTCACGTCCATTCATATCTGCTCATGGCGTATCCAAATGTAAACAAATGACCTCACACATTATGAAATAGACAAAGATCGACAATTATTTTAAGACATAAAAAGAAGGCATAAACATAAAAAATGTCTTTTAAAATAGATGTTATTAAATGTTTTATTTAATTCTATCACAACATTTGACTTAGTGGTTGAGGCAGTTGTATCTTTTCAGTCGTCGTCAGTGATTAGGAATTTGGTTTAAGTGAAAATAAACATTCCAAATACTGATTTTCAAGGTGGGTATATTTTTGTCATTTGGACGTAATGCAGCATTCTACCATTTCTCCGAACCATCGAGAACCATTCTCTATAAATCAGTTGTTCCCAACCGATTTTGGGCCATACCCCACTTTGGTATTTTTAAAATTGTCTTGCCCCCCACCCCCGTAATATTTAATTCTTACATATTCAAAATTTTACTGCAATTCACGTGAATGAAGGTTAAAAGGTCAACTTGCTCTCTAAACAAACATCCAAAGACAATGGCGTCCATGAAAGAGAAAAATTTAAAAAAACAAAAAGACAGTTAAATATAGTTTCAAGACATATAATAGAGAAGTGAAAGACAGAAATATAAAATATTTGAATGAAATGTTATTCTGTAATATACTTTGATCATTTTAATCATTAAATAATAATGCAAAATGAAATTTGAGCTCACTAGAAAACAATTCACTCTTAATAACTCATTCTCGAATTGCTCCCTTATTTTGTTGGTATAGTAAGCCGAATTGTGCACATCCTACGCATACCCCACCAAATACCATGCCCACATTGGGAATCATTTCTATAAATGTACGTATAAAATAAATACAGCTGAAATATGAAATAAAAATAAAGTTGCCGAAAATATCTATAAATCCTTTTTGATTCTTTATTTACGAGTTAATACGGATAAACGATCTTTTATCCGAAAGTCTTTTAAAATATCAGAAGTTTACGGATTTCCCTTTGCCCCACGGAATTCAAGATTTTTATTCTCATAAAATCAGCTTTAAAAAATTCCATTTTGAATCCCTAGAACTTATTATTAAAATAATCTGCAAAAAGAACTTTATCTGACGGCAAATAATTCTATTTTTCTATAAATCTTTTATTATTATTATTATTATTATTATTATTATTTGGGCATCTATGAACAGAAAAGAAAGACTGCCTCTTTGCTAATATAAAAAAAAAACACTATCTTTTCAGAACGAACCTAAAACTTACAATGGCGCCCAAAACTCGTGTTTTTGCTTTTGTTTGGCATTACCGTTTTCTCTTCCTTTAGCTATAAAGATGGAGACGAAGAGTTGATCAATACTGCCTTGATGTTGGCCCGTGCCTATTCTATGACAAGAAAAGAAGAGGCGACAGGTAGGTGTTGTTGTTGTTGTTATTCCCTGAAGATCATTGAAGTATTTTGTTTTCTCCTATTATTTAGTCAAAGAATCTATTTATGCAAGAAAAAAAAAATGAAATTCCTTATTTACAAAAAATATTTTGAAGCCTTTTGAGACTATTTAAATGGAAATATAGATTTTTTCATATTTCATTTTCTTCCTTCTAGTTTAAGTAAGAAAATCATCCCGGTTCTCGCTCCTCTTCAGCTTTTTTTAACAGGAGTGGAGGTTTATTCCTTGTTTCCTGTTTAGGATTGGATTTTTCGTTACTTCTAAAATCTTCTCATTCTTTTTCAAGTGACAAGTAGGTTTCACCGTTTTACTTTTGAAATAGTTAGATGCAACTGTCACTAATAGATCTGACAGTTTCTTTCCTCGCACTTCTCACCTGTGGAACACCCTTTAGATTTCTTGTTTCCCTGCCATTTACAGCCTTCATCAATATAAATGCAACTTCAGTCGCCATCTCCCTGAACCCTGTTTCATTATTGTTCATTTCTCTCCTCTTCACTAAAGCATTTCCTTTCACTCCCCAGTAACCCCTCCCTTGCCTCTTAGTGGCATTATCGATTAAAAAGACATTATGAAAGTTTCATTCGAAATGACGTTTTTGGTACAGCTTTAGAACGATAGGATTTCTTTAATATAACGATCTTCATCTTTGAGGCACTTTGATATGAATATTAATCAATATTAGAAATTTTGTTTAATATTGCTTTTCTCTCCGTTTTTGCTACCAAAAAAATATGTTAATACCAGTAAATGGAAGCAAACTAATTTCAGATTGAATTAAATGGGAGTAATTGAAAATTATAATTTAGGTAAATTTAAGCCAGTCGCCATTTTATTAAATCCGTTACAAAAATTGGAGCCAGTTAAGATGGCTCCAGCAAAGTGAGTTTGAGTTCCGGTTGGGACTGCTTTCGAAAGGCATGATTACCAAATCTCCTTTTGATGATGATTCAAGTCTGAATTTCTGGGATGAGAATTCATCATTATTTACATTCGGATAAATATCCTTATCGTTTTTGTTATTATTACAACTTTTTTAGCTGTTGTATCTTCCGACTTTCTTCACCTTTCGAATAGAACACTTTATTTAATCAATAGGATATATTGTTCTCGTTCTGTTAATTATGTCTACAAATGTCTCGTCTTGTTTCTTTTTGTTTTCTTCTTGATGATCGCCTGGTCAATTCACGATGGTAAACAGAGAGAAAATGTTAATGAACCTGTATATAAACAATCCTATCTCAGTTCAGGCAGCAGACGAAAACATTGCTGCTATATCTATTGTCAGCTTCGGCTGTCAGAAACCAGTGTGAATATAGATATATTATAGAGGTAAAAACAAGAGACATTATGGTGATTTCGGACAAGAGCCACACATATGATGCTCTCAACACCTCAAAGTACAGTGATCCCTTGCTAATTCGCAGTTTTACTATCGCGGATTCACGACTTTGCGGATTTTTAAATATATATATGGAAAATATATCGCGGAGTTTCTGGAAAATTCTAGAAAAATCGCAATATATGAACACCTAAAATATTTCATTAAACTCATTAAAATATTAATAATAAATATTATTTCCTGGTCTAGCAACAACAAAACAAGCGTAAAATAGCAATAGAAAGGGCACCGCCGTCTGAAGAGACGTAAAATACAATTATCGGCTGGACAGTAGAAGTCATCATCAGCTTCATCATCATCATTTCTACTGCGCAGCAAATTCATCATCATCATCATCATCCTTCAAATTCTACTTCAACTTCTTTCGTGTTGAATACAGTAACAATCTTTATTTTTTTTTAATCTAAAGTGTTATTGCTTAACAGTTGTCCTTGTTATTAATAGAGTACTGTAATGGTTGGGTTTTTAACAGTACAGGGAGGGTTTTAAAAGTCCAAATACACGTTAAATAATTACTGTAAATATGGCGTCCCTACATCGCGGAAATTCAGTTATCGCGGCCGGTCTTGGAACCAACCTACCGCGATAAACGAGGGATCAGTGTATTCCTGAATTCATGAGTTATCAGCTCAAAACTCGGTAATATCTTTTTTCCAAGTAGAAACTCTATTGGAAATGGTAGTGCTACTTGGAATGGAAATCGAAAATCTGAATGAAGTCATGAGACTTAAAATTACTAGGTCTTCTTTACGTGCTGTGTCCCCTTCGGTTGTAGGCGATCATGACTCTCCACAATTTCCTGTCCTTTGTAGCTCTTAATATTTCTCCTAAACCCTATTTGACCATCCATGTCTTCAATTTCACCATGTATGTCATGCATTGCGTTCGTCTGTCCCTCTTTCAATCTGACCTGTGAGTATCAGATTCTCCAAGCCTTCTTTCCTCATTATGCGTCACAGAGAAATCAACCATCTCTTCCTGATGTTTCCTTCTTGTTTTCATTTTCTCCAAAACTTCGTCGTTGCTATTCTGTCCATGATATCCTCAGTATCCTTCTGTATAACGATATTTCTATTGCTTCGAGTCTCTTCTTCATCTTTGAGGAGATTGCCCAGCTCTCAGTGCCATACAGGAGGACAGATATAACATAACAATTTAGTAATCTTTTCCGTGTTTCTAGCGATTTTTTTCTATTTCTTAGTACTCTACTTAGATTTTGTAAGGCATCTTTGGCCATCCTAATACGCCTTCGGATTTTATTGTCACACTTGCCGTCCTTTTTTAAAACATTTGCCAGATATTTAAATTTCTGAATTTGTTTGATTTTGGTATCTCCAAATTGCAATTCACACTTTCGCCTAATCCTTTAGTCAACGGCCATGGATTCTGTCTTCTTGCTGTTGATGTTTAGTCCTTTCTTAAAAGTACTTTTATGAACATCCCTCACTTCAACATATATATGCTTATATATATATATATATATATATATATATACAAATATAGTTTTAGGCATGGGTTAGGTTTATTCGATAAAATACTCCATATTCTAGAGCGTATCTAAATATAAAAGTGAACATTAAAGTCAACATTCAGAGGCGACAGACTGTTTCATACTAATCATCAGGCCTGATAATTGCCTTTAGCATGAAACAGTTTGTCGTCTCTGAGTGTTGACTTCAGTGTTCACTTTATATTTATGCTTATATATATATATATGCTTATATATATATATATATATATATATATATATATATATATATATATATATGCAAGATTCTTCGATAAAGCGAATCGAGTTCTCTCAGTCACTATGTGTTTATCTAAAAATAAATACACTTAAAATTCGCCTTCATCCCCGCCGTGCGCCAACGGCTTAGGGCTAGAATCTTTGACTGACGCCAATTCAGTCGGGTTTCGATCCTAGCTAGAGGCAACCGGACGTCTAGTTACACTAATGAGCTGTGATGCAGCGAAACAGTATGTGGATGACAATATATATTCTCCTGAAAAATTTTACTTCGGTGGAGCTCTCTGAGGAAGTGCGAGTTTGTAAACAGTGACTATTACCGCTAATAATGCAAGACTCTTCAGTAAATCGAATCGAGTTCTCCCAGTCACTGTGCGTTTATCTAAAATTAAATACGCTTAAAATCACCGATCCTAGCTAGAGGCAACCGGACGTCTAGCCACACTGATGAGTTGTGATACATCAAAAAAGTTGGTCTGTTGATGACAATATATATATATGTATGTATATATTTTGCGTATTAGAAATTAGCTTTTTATTTTTCTGAAATTTTTCCTTAATCCTATAATTAAACACGATTTTTACAATAAAGTTCATTATACTTAAACTCGCTGTTTATATAATTCAAGGTCACGTGGGTTATATTTCTTAAATACTTAATCCTTTGAGCCCTGACCACCGCTTTACCGGTAGTAGAGAAAAATGACTTAATGCCCAGCCACCGGTTGAACGGTGGGTAAACACTTGTAACTATTTTTATATCTACTGTAAAACATTACATACCAATTATTTGCGAATTTTGGCACAGGAGCTCAGGCAGAAGGATTAAAATTGTCCAGGAACGCAGGGTTCAAAGGATTAATGTTAAAACGCTCATTCATTGTAAGAGATTGGATCATTAAATCTGTAACCTAAAACATAGTTATGAGCTGAATTTTGATCCGAAAATTTCGATGTATAACGTTCGATCTATGTAATTAACATTGACCACTAAAATAAAAGCATTTACAAAGATGGTTGGTTGATTGGTTTTATTTAGCGGGTCATTTAATGCCAGAAAATATTTTATACGAAATTTTTTGAGGTAAATAATGGTTTTAGTAACACAAGTATTACTAATTAACCCATAGCTGAGAGAGAAGAGTTGGATTCATACCTTTTTCGAAGGTATCTGTGAGTAAGTGAATATAACAATCCCAGCTGGAATTGGAACTCGGCTCTTCGATTAACAATTCTGAGCCATTATCCATTACACCACCCGCACACCCAAGTTTACAGCAGCTGGTATTCCCAAGCAGTTACCCATCTTGGTACTGACCAGGCTGGACGTTGTTTCAACGTGATATGGCCGTAATCCCTTGATATGATTATATTTTATAATCGTAATTATAATGATATAATTGTGGAGGCACAAGGAGATTATGTTGAAAATAAATATGTGTATAAAGTAGATGTTATTTTCATTAGACTACAGACTTATTGATCTAATTGCTTATTTGACACAATCCAATTCTGAGAATAGGGGAAAAGAACGATGCCATATCAATGGGTTTAGTTTTGTGTCAATTTCATTTGCCTCTCCTCTTTCATAATTTAGGGAATATATTTTTTATCACTAACCACTGACTTTACAGATACTCCAACGCTTTTTCGTTTGTCTTTAATTTTTTTATTGTTACATAAGCAATGAGGAAGAAAAGTTCAATGATTAAACCCCGAATTACGAAAGTCTTTTTGAACAAATTCCAACGTTCAATCTGTAAATTCTGCTTTTAATGTGAGAAAGAGAAGGAAAAACAATCTGAAACTAAAA